GCTGAGTGTTCACCGCGCCCGAGCACCTGGAAAGGCTCCCGGGAGCAATCCAGGTCCACTCGCCCATTCTCATCACGCAGCGCGTCCAATCTCACTTTCCGTTGAGCCTGACCAGGACGCATCAGGGTGCGCCATCCCATCCTGTCCCAAAGGTCCCCGGGACATCCTGGGGCACGCGCGCGTAGAGAAGATTCCTGGAAACGCGCTGCGTCTGCAGGTGGCTCGCTCTTCCCACTTGTCCTTCCTTAGGAAGAGACTTCTCAAAGTAAAGCCGAAAAGCAGAGAACGCCCAACTGACCTGTGCAGGACCAGGTTCCAGCCCAGGCTGGAGACCTCTCCGCGCCTCGGGAAGGTCCGAACTCCGCCGAGGGACGGTTCTTGGCGGCGCACCGCCCTCGCTCGCTCCCCTCCGTGTACCCTTCTAATTTAGCCTCTCTCTCTTCTCCTCCCCCTCCTCCGACTCCCTCTCCCCCTCTCTCTCTCCTTCACCCTCTCCGGGCCTCCCAGAGCAGACTCTGCCTCTCCACGCTTCCCTCCCGCTGGGCGCCCAGGATCAGATAAGAGAAAAGGAAGGCCCGCCGGCCGCCAATTATAGAGCGGAAGGTGGCCGCGGGGGCGGGAGGTGGGGAGGGGGGAGGCAGGCCTAAGTCCCGGAGGCCCCTCACTTTCTCTCCTCCTCCTGTCCCGCAACCCTGCCCCACAGAAGGTACTCGGAGCCGCCCACGCGCCCCACCCCACGATACACCCCCGCCCGACCTGGCGACCGCCCCAGGTGCGAGCTGCGAGCGCGTGCAGGGCGCCGAGCGGGCAGCGCTCGCCCTTCCACTGAGACCCGGGCTAGTGCAGAGCACCCAACCAGACCACCCTGGTCGCGGGAGCCCCCGTTTTCTGTGCTGTGCGCCCACTGTCTCATTCCCAAAACCGCCTTGCCTAAACCGCCAGGCTTAGACGACCTGGAGGAGCAGGAACAGGATGGTGCCCCTCCCTCATCACCGACGCCCTGCGGTCCTCCCTCCTCTCCTCCTCTCTTCCGACCAAGTATACCGGCTGTAAATGGCCAAAGCAGAGATGCCCAGACTTCACCATGCAGGCGAATCCTCTGGGTGTTCGAAATTGACAATTTTGTGAGTTGTAAGAGGACGAAAGTCAGCACCTTTATAGGGTAGGGCCGAGTAATCTGTAGATTTCCCACCCGCAGCGATTCTGGTTGGACAGGTCCGGGCTGGGGCCAGGTATTTTTTTTGCATTTATCTAACAGCCTGGTGCCTTGGTCCTGCAGGCCAGCCTTGGAGAGGCACTGCCTGGCGGTGGGTGTGGAACTCAGGCGCGCACCAGGGGCCCTGCGCTGGGTCGCTAGAGACCTGACCCTGCGTTGGTCACCAGAGGGGTCCTCTGAAAAAGTCATTTTACCTTTTTTTTTTTTTTTGGGGGGTGTTTTTATAGC